GGGGGAAATGAGAGAGGGAGGGCTGAAGGGTTATGTGGAAACTACTTTGTGCTCAATTTTTCAGTAAACCTAAAACTGCTTTTAAAAATGTGTTAATTGAAAAGAATTGTTGAAGTTTTTCAAATGAAGGAAATGGACAGAAGGAAATTTGGAACACCAGGAATGAAGAACAGATTTGAACAAATACACTGTGCTCTTCAGTTTTTAAAATTAGATGGTTCAAAGGGAAATTCTATTGTCTGACCAGGGTTCTTAAGAAAACTATATTATGAAGGAGAGAGGCAAATGTACCTAATGGTGGCAAGGTTGTCATGATTCACTTGAAATTGCAAAAATGTTGGTACCAGATTTGAAAATTTGTTTTTTCTTGAGGTGCTAGGGATTGCACCTATAGCCTCATGCATGCTAGGTGGGTATGCTATCACTGAGCCACACCCCAGCTAACACTAGTAGACTTGGTTACATATATACACTATAATCTACAAAGTAACAAATTTATACAGAGACACAGTAAAAATTTACAACAGGCAAAATGGAATACTAAAATCTTTTCAGGTAAACCATAAAGGTGGGAGAAAACAGTCAGGAATGAAAAACCTGAAGAAAATGAAAATAGTCACACCTGTCTGCCATGAATCAAAGAATACATAAAACTTAAGTCCCTAGATAACTAAAAGATAGGTATTGACAGACTTTTTTTTTTACTTTTTTGCAATACTGAGGGTTGAACTCAGGTCCTTGATTTTGCCAGGCAGGCATTCTACCACTTGACCCAGGCCTTTTTGCTTTACTTATTTTTCAAATAGGGGCTATTATTTATGCTGAGGCCTGGACCAAGATCCTATTTACATCTCCCATGTCACTGGGATGACAGGTGGGACAGCACCACGCTGTTTTACTCTCATGAACTTCATGTCTGGTCTGGCCTCATATTCCCAATCTCTCTCCCAGTAGCGAGGATTACAGGCTTAAGCCATTTCATCAGGCTTGACATTTTTAAATGATGTAACTATATGCTGTCTACTTGAAACACATTTCAGATGCAATTATAGATAAATTTAGAGTAAATAAATAAGAAAACTATCAAGCAAATATCAATATAAAAGAAAAACAGGTGAAGTGGGTTCCCGATTAGCAGATAAAGTAGACTTCAAAGAAAACTACCAAGGACAGAGAGGGGACACTTACCACTAAAAGGATCAACATGCCAAGATGTAACAACTTAAATGTGTATGTTCTGAGTAACAGAGATTCAGCAAAAATTAACAGGACCAAAAGAAAAAACTATGCAGAACAGAACACCAAGGAATGTGATCTACTACACCCAACAGATTATTCTTTTCATATAACTAACTATAGGACCAAGATAGCTCACATTTTGGATATAAAACAATTTAACAAATGTAAAGAGACTGAAATCATACAAAGAATGTTCTCTGATCATAATGGAACCAAGCTAGAAATGAAATGCATTCCTTGCTGAGTTTTTTCTTTCTAGACATTGTATTGTTGACCCCTGAACAAACATGGATGTGAAGAACACTTACATGTCACCTTTTTTGAGGGCACAGAAAGGAGAATTTACAACTTGAAAAAAATTGCAGATGATCTGCATAGCCTAGAAATATTGAAAAGTTTAAGACAAGTTAGGTGCATTTCTTCTCATGCCCTTTCCTTTATCTGAAGCTGTGTAACGCAGCAGCTCTTGCCATCACGACTACCTAAAACTGGTGGTTTTCAATGGCTTACCCTGTGTACTGTTCCAGCCAACTGAGGAGCAGCAGGTCTGGCCATTTTCAATGTCAAGGAACATAAGTAAGTTTCCACATATCAAAATTAATAATCCTCCCTCTCCCTAGTCAGATATATTCTTACAGTCCCCAATCATTTAACATATGAAGTGAAAAATCAAAACACAGAAGTGTAAGACAACTAAGCAAAATAGCAAAGCACATAAAAAGATGCTTACCATTAGTTAAACTAACTAAAACCAAAATGAAATAGAACTCCATACCCACTAATGGTTAAAATTAAAACAACCGAAAACCAACTAAAAACCAAGTACTGGCAAGGACATGAAACACCCAGACCCTGCATACATTGCCCTTATTGCAAAAATGGTACAGCCACTTCTGAAAAGTTTGGATTTTTCTTAAAAGTATACTTAACATATATGATACCTTAATTTTAGGTATTATCCCAAGAGAAGTGAAAACATATACAGTGACTTTATACACGTGTTCATAGCAGCTTTATTTGTAACAGAAAACTGGAAAGTCAAATGTCTACGAACTGGTGAATGAATAAATTTCATAACCACATAATGCAACACTAAACAATAAAAAGGAAGTACTGCCACATGCAAAAACATGAGTTATCTCAATAGCTTCATTGTTAAGTGAAAGAAGCTAGACACAAACAACTACATACGATTCCCTTTATTGGAAATTCTTGAAAAGGCAAAACTAATGACAAAAAACCAGGGGGTAGAAGCAAAGGAAGGGAAACTGCCTGTAAAAAAAATAAGGGAAGTTTTTAGGTCATGGGATGCTCTCTATCACAATTGTGGTTGCTAACATAACTGTATACAGCTGACAAAATCCAATGCATTACACACTTAAAACTGGTTAATTTCATTCCATCTGTATAATACCTTAAAGCTTAAAAAAGGTATGGCAATGTATCAAAATGTAACAGTTGTAATGATTTAGTTTGTATTTCAAATTTCCAAATACTCGATAAAGATGTATTGTTTAAAATAAAAATGCTATTTTGAAGCAACTAGCATTATTACAAATACATGATTATAAAAAATAATCACAGTTACTTAAAAATAAATATAAACTCAGAGGTAAGAACAGAAGGAATTTACCACCATTTATTTAGTCTGGGTGAGGGATACTAATTTAAATTCCTTCTAAAGGTTTTCTACAATTAATAACTTTTAGGGTAGACTGTTTTAAAATGCAGCAAAAATTGAGAATAACTTGTAATTAACTGATACAAATTTATCCAGAGCTTTTTACCAAATTAATGAATTAGGAAGGCATCATATGCATTCACTTTCTGCTTTTAAACACAATGGTTTATTTCTTTCACTCTCCCCCTTTACCCAAATAAATTTTAAGGTTTTTCCAATTTATTCTCTATACTGCTTAGAATAGTAAGACGAATAAGATTTTCCTTCTTAATGCAACATCTTATTTCTTAAAACCACTGAAGAACGAATGTTTTTTAGGTCTGGAATGTATTTTCCATTCAGAAATGCCCTATTCTGTAAACAAAAGAAACGGAACATAAATAGCACCTTTGATTAAAATGTCTACCTAGATCAGTTGCACAGCAGATAAAAACTGGAGGTAACAACTGCTTTAACTTCTATGACTATCTCATCTACTACATAATTCTTAAGGAACATTTCTTCCATTCATATGAAGATTAAATATTTATTTTCAAAAATTGAACCAACTAATGATCTTTTAACAGAAATTTTTAAATCCTTTCTTCCTTTTTGGTCATTTGGAAAGTGGCTATCGATTAAACTGGGTAATTAAAGCAAGAAGGGGTGAGGGGGAGCACAAACCTAAACACTTTAGAGCAAATGGGACCTAATGGTCATCTTGACTTTAGGGACAAAACTAATACACTACAATATTGTGACATGACTCAATACAAGAATTCAGTAAGACTTAACTTTTGGGAGAAGACTTAGGGCACAGTACATTCAAATCCTTGTAGGCAATGACAGATGACATATACTCCCAGAAATGGAGCAATACCTGAACCAGTGCTGTTAACAGATCCATCGCAGCATTATCAATACATCCCAGTCATTTTATAATACCCTTATTCCTTTGGTTTCCTTGCATTTAATGGAAGGCACAATAAATTTTCGTTTTTAGCGCACAGCAGGATGGTTCTGATTCTTTTTGCAGTATGTCTAGTAATACCATTTTTACACCCTCAGACATAAGGGTCAAAACTTTTAACACATGATAGACAGTAAGAAGAGGCCTCAGCAAAAAATACTCAATGATAGATAGCATGCTTCAGTTAACATGTTTTCTGCCAAGGTAAAAATGGACTTATTAAAATATGAGGGACTTAGTAAGTTAAAGTACTCTCAGATGTAGCACAGTTCTAGAGTTAATTCTGCACCACACCAGCATAATCAAGGACTCTGGTGTGTTCCATTTTCCCACTGAGCCAACCTCAGTACATGGTTGTGTCCCCTTGTAGATGGACCACAGCAGTTCTGAGATCAGATTCAGACAAGACAATGTCCAAAGAAAATAAGAATTTCCACCTTTAACTCTATTTGTGAGGAAACTGTCTCAGATATCCCCTTGTAGATTGCTTCTCAGTTGCCATTGGCAAGGACAGATTCACCTCCCCATTTCTCACTAAGTACTTATCAAGGGGAATAATTCACTCTTGGGGAAGAGGGCACAATATTCTTTGACACAAAGCTGCAGCGTAGTAGGGACACTTGAACAAGAACTCAAGAAGGGAGCAACAAAATGGTTATTGGAAAGCAACCAACAATGTTTGTCACAATCTAAAAGAAGTGAAAACACATAGTACGGTAGCTTCCATTGACTAAGAGGGCAAAGAAGCACTGAAAAAAAATGTATTATTATAGATTATTACACATTAAAAAAATTCAGGGACAAATAATAACTAAGATTCAGTGAGGACACTATACACCAGGCACTAGCCTATGTGCTTTTGAGCGTATTAGCACATTTATCAGTACAATTTTTGCTTGTACTTCAAACAAGGAAGAGAAAACAGAGAAGCTAAGTAATATGCCCACAGCATCTAGTAAGTGACAGCACTGAGACTGAAATTTAGGTAATCAAGCTCCAGACTCATGCTTTTAACTGCTACATCACGCTGCACAGGGCAGTGGAAGGGGGTATGTACAGATCTTGAAGAGTAAAACATAAAATAAACCAAGGGATAGGTGGAGATGTAGAAACTAAACCAAGAAGTTTAGGTGATATTTATACATTGTACATTTTATTAAATACTGGGCTTTATTACAACAAATTTATTTTTGATAGAAGTTTCATTTAGAGAAATGTGATTGTGTTTAAATTCTTAACTTGACACTGCTTTTTGTTAGCCATTCTATTTTTGCTGGTTTTGTACCTAGTCATTATAGGCAGAAAATTAATTTTGCATAACAGAACAAAGGAATTTCTCAAGGGTACAACACAATATTTATGAGGCACACTCTCAAAGTGTGGATATGACTACAACAGAGTATACGATCAGAACATACTGCTTTTTATGGTGTATTTATAACAGCTACAGAGAACACTGTTAAGTCATGCACATTAAAACCTTTACTACCTACTAAAGGTTTCTACCTTACATGAAAGTCCCAGGGTTTGACATTTTGCCAAATAAGGAAAACTGATGTCAAACTGGCTTTTCAGACTACCACAGAAAAGCTGTCAGCTGTAATACCCATCCTGGAATCGTGGTGGAAAGTTCCTGGGAGTTGCCTTTTCCTGTGTTTTGATCAAGTCTAGAATAGCTGACAGTACTGCACAGTCTCTGGATTTAGTGTCATTCCAGTCTACTGGATGAGGACTTTCGATTTTCTCTTGCAGAAGGATATCCAGCTCCTTTCTTAATTCCTGAGGATGGAAAAAGTATATGTGTTCAACAAAGGCAAAAGCATTATCAAACAATGTAATAGATAAATGTGACTTTAGGCGCTACAAGGAGTTTCACAAGCTATTACACAAGACTACAATATTTAATGAGTAACCAACTAATGTGTGGATAAAAAAGTAAAACTTTAATCACACTAAGCCATTTAGAATAGTTGGTCTATTACCCACAAAAAACCAATTTTTAAAACTATGAGTTTTCAACACTACTTGCTGTGTTGAAATAAAAGAAATGTTTATAACATTTTAAATAAAACCACAAGACCACATGTTGAGTTGCATGTAGACTTAAAAAACAATCATGTAAAATCAGTCACCTTAACAAGATGGGCAATTCTTGCTGGAGACTGAAACACAATCCATTCATCTACAGCAATAGTTTCCTGATCGTTATCCTTCTGGATTGAAATATCGCCTCCAAAGAACAAGAGACAGTATGGAGAAACTTCTGTGCAGTCATACAAATATATCTGCAGTGAGAATTAATGTGAATTAATGCATTAGGACTCTGAAAGAATCATCATTGTGGTAATTCAACAGTATTACATACTAATCTTATTAGTGGCCTTCCTTCTAAAATAGGTGTTAACTTGTTAGTGTAATTTTGAAGATTAATTTGAAGAAGTATCATTTTAAATGAACCATTCTTTACTAATTTATAGAACATGGAGGTTTTACACTGTTGCTTTAATTTAAAATATGAGTATTTGAACAAAATATTTTGAGTGTTAAAACCAAAACACAATGTAGCTCAAGTTTTTTTATCTATATATCCAGTATTTAACAACTACCTCATGTTATTTTTCTAAAAGAAAAATATAAATAGAATCTCACTTAATATTGACTAGCATTTAGTAAACTTATTCTAACATGCCAACAAATTATACAGTGTGAGCTATATATCATAAAAATGCCAAGATTTCTTGAAAGTAGGCTAAAAGAAAATCATTCTTCAAATAAGTAACTGTACTATTTCATGAAAATACAATGATCCATCTTGAAAGATCTCTAAGTTATAAGTATAGGCTATCTGCTTAATGAAAAAAAGTTGTAATTGGTCAAAGAAAAAAAATTACAATTTTGAAAATTAGAAAATTATAAAAATATAAAACAAATATTTAGATTCATGATTATTCCAAATGTTCACTTACACTACTTGTTCTCATCTTCAGGTGATAGATAAGCCAGTTGTAGTGAAAGTCTGTTTGTTCCACATTAACAGATTTAGGATGAATAGCAACCAGACCATCAGATTTTGTGTGAACTTTCACCCTTAAAAAAAAAAGTTACAATATAGCTTGTTAAAAAGTTTTCTAGGAAATTCTTTTTATTTATTTTTCCATTAGCTTGTAAACTAACAGAGCAGTAAAAATCAAACAAGTCCAGGAAATCTTAAAATTCTGAGTTCAGTTTATTTCTGTAATGTATTAAAAATTCATATATAAGGAAAGCAGAATTTTCTGAATGACATGGAAAAATAAATTATATAAATATAATTTATAAATAATATAAATAATCCTCTCACAGACACATACCAAAAAGATGACAGAATATTCCTTGATTACAGTAACACAAACTATACCACTGAAGGGTAAGGAACAAAATGCCTGTAATTAAGTGATTCACACCAAGACAGTCTATATAAATACTTTACTATGACAATCAGAATATTGAGAACAGCCCTAAATTTACAGAATAACTTTATGAAATGATTTAAAATTTTCAGAGTATGTGTCCAGATGAACATAAAATAAAAAATTAAAAACTTTGTTGAAATTGACTTTTGTGCTAAACCTGATTTAAAAAAACCTACTCTGAAAGAGTATTTGAAATGAATGTATCCTGACATAGTTAAAGCTCTCAGTTCTTAGGGGTCTTTTCTTTGATAGTCATATAAATTTTATCTCAAATTTTTAACTAATTGGATTTAATAGGAAGAGAGCTGGTAATTTATTTTATATAGTAATGGTAATTTCTTATATTAGATGAAAGAATAAAAGCTAGTAACCCATAAATCCTTCCAAATTGTTTTTAAGAATTATATTTTTAAGGTTTTAGTATAACACTCATACCAAAATCATGAATCACAGTCAATTATGATTCATTATTCAGAATAAAATTAGAAATTATGTTTTCTCATCCTACAGTCAATGTAACCAAAGCTATTCTGCAATCCTGTATCATTAGAGCAGCAGGTGCTGGCAAATTTCTATACAGGACCATACAGTAATATTTTAGGCATGAGGAATCCTACGATCTCTCTCACAACTACCCAACTCTACTAGGGTAGCAAAAAAGCAGAGACAGCATGTAAACAAATGAATATTACTATGTTTCAATAAAATATTATTAAATAAGCTTTTGGCCTTTAAGCCAAAATTTCTAACTCCCTACTCTAGGGAAAAACAAAGCACCAATCCAAAAAAAGCCTACCTGTTTTCCTAATGCCCTCCCAGGATGACAGAGGGAGATAAAAGGTTTATATTTCAAGAAGTGTCTCTACTAAGATACTTCGTCTAAGATATAGATGAAGAAAAGAATTCGGCACAGTACTGATATCAGAAAAGTACTTGGATTACATAAAATATGGATAATCCAACCACAATGATCAAAAATTCACCTTTTTACCCATGATTTTATATCTTAAACCTGCTGTTTTTTTCAACCTCAGCACTACTGACATACTGAACTTGGTAACTCTCAGCTGAGGGGACTGCCCTATATGATGTTTAAAAGTATCCCCAGTCTCTAGCTACAAGATACTCAAAGCACTCCCTCAGTTATGGCAATCATAAATATCTCCAAGTACTATTAAATGTTCCCTGGAGGAAGAGGCGGAGGGAACCATCCCAGTAAAAACAGGTCTTCCTTTGAAGTTCATATTTTTCATGTTTTTAATCACAGGGTATCCACTGTTTTCACTTAATGCAGTCCTAATATTTTACCTATTAGTACACAATGACTCAAGTTTTTTATAACATGGTATCATAAAATCGTAATTTCTCCATCATTACTAGAAATGTATGCTGTTTGCAATATAGCTAAAAACACCTGGAATGACATTTTTAGGATATATTTCTCAAATCAAAATGTGCATTTATTAGTACACTGACCCAGTGACTACTTAATGACATCTGAAATATAACATTAATCTAGAGTACCTACCAAAAGGGTGGCAACAATTCACATAGCATTTGCCAATGCTGACTTTTAGTTGCTCTGTATTCTTACTACAATGAGCTTCATTTCCAAGATAGAAATAAATATGCCCCACTGTTGTCTTCAGTTATTACTGAGGCTATTTATATATGTATTTATTAGTTATAATTTACTTCTCAAAATCATGAAGTTACCAGAATTTAATGAAGGGAGCTGTTACAAAAAAATCTCCATTTTATAAGCAAAGAAAGAGAAAAAAAAATTTCCAACACAAAATCTACTCAAGCCGATTCCAATCTAGGTGCTGGTTTTAACAGCACTGGATTTCTTAATATTTACACTGCTAGTTTTGTAACATTCTTTGTTTATAATGGGTGACAAGACAGTTGACTCCAGGGTTGTGTTGAAGGAGATGCCTATGCTAAACAGGTAGCCTTCTTCTAAATGATTAAAACCAAAGAATATGGTCCACATATCAATAGGAACAAATTCCACAATGAGTACCATCATATTAGAGTTTAATAAAGAATTGCAAATAACTCACAATAATCTTCAATGCTTACATTTTTCTTTTTTTACCCAAATTTAGTCGGATTTTAGCAACTTTGGGATATAAGCCCGCACAGATGACAGCTTTAATTATCTTCTCATTATCTATTGGGAGTGGGAAGGTAAAAAAAAAAAGTAAGTGAAGTGCTGAGACAATGGACAATAACGGCAAATTACTCACACTGTGCTTTTTCTTTACCTGAATTTATGTTAGACTGTGGATCTTTAGGATTTCTACTGCTCACAAATCCAGCTCCAAGAAGATGCTCAGCAAACTGCCCTTTCATGTTATGTAGCATCTAGGGGTCAATGGAGACAAAACCAAGACATCTTTCACACATGGGGTTGGTCTACAAAGCACATACTCAAGTCACTTAGTTCTAAGCCTTCTCTGCGTTGGGAGGACACTTCTACAAAAATGGGATCTTTCAAAGGGGTTGAAAAATTAAAAAAAAAAACTCTTTGTCAAACTCTCTTTGTCAAAACACAACTATACCCGTTTATCAATGTTTTGTCTATGTTGCTTTTGAACTACAACAGAGATAAATGACTACAACATAGATTATGGTACTAGCTGGTTTTTTAGAGAAAAAGTTTTTGCATGTTGTCAAGAACCACTGATATTAAAGAATTATGCCATTTTGCAAAAGACTCACAAATATAATTTTTAAAATTACCCCTATTTTGGAAGAAAAGTAGAAAGGCACAAGAAAATAACCGACACCCACATTTCTACTACCGAATTAACTAGTGTTAACATGTTGGCACATAGCATTGTTTTTTTTTTTAAAAGAAAAATAATGATTTGAGTAAAAGTGATGCATGACTCAGTATAAAGCATTCAAGAAACAGAAAAACTACCAATGAAGAAACTTCCCTTACCTTAATAATCTTCACAAATAATCACTGCTAAATAAATAAGAATGCAAACATTCCATAGTAACAGAATTAGAAAGAAATGTATCCTAACAGGACATCAATTTTAAAAACTGTGTTTTTATAAAACCAATTACATAACTTTAGTTCAACTTAAAGAAGTTACACAGAAGTGAACGTGAGCCACATGAAACTACACTTTTATAAAAATTTTTTTATTGTTGTGCTGGGTGGGGGTACATTGTAGCATGTACAAAAGTTCTTGCAACTTACCAAATGTATTGTACTTGAATTCACACCCCCCCAACCCCGCCCACCATTCCTGGAATAGTTTCAACAGGTATCATTTTTCCATTTACATACATGCATACACAGTATTTGCCCCATATTCACCCTCCACTGTTTTCCCACCTCCTTCAACAAGAAATTTTTTTTAGAGTTTCTTCAAGCTAAAAATAAAGAGATTACGAAACATAAAACCAGTCACATCAAAATATCCCTTTTATTAAAGGTGTGACTTTAGTTTCCCAGTCTAATTCTTTTTGTAAATGACTCTATTAGCCACCTTCTGGGTTTTATAACCAATCTATTTCTCAACATAATAATCTTTACATTCTATTCTGTATGTATAACTCCCATCTTTATTTTGTACTAGTTCTATATTTAAACAGTTTCAATGTATACTACACTAGCCGATTTAGCTTGCTTCATTCCTAAAATCTTCACTTTGATTCATCTCACTGTCAGTGATATATTTCAATAGCTCATATGAACAGTGCTTCATTCTTCATCTTTATTCCTGAATTGACTATCTTGACTGGACCTGATGTTCTCAAATGAAACTTAGATTCAGCCATCTTTTCATACTGATTCATTTTTTCTCATTTCAGGGAAATGTCTCTGAATAAATACTCAATCACCCATGAATTCTATGTAGATATACCTACTGTCCTCATGAGGATTCAATTCTGCCTTTAAACTTTTTACTTACCACCTTAATTTTTGTTTTTTTCAGCTTTATCCGTTAAACTGATTAGCTTAAACTTTTCTTCTATACCAGTAATTTATTTAAGGGGTACCCATTTTATCCTTGTGACTTTTTTTGGTCTTCAATTTGGTTTCTTAGATCAGCAGTCTTTTCATTTACCTGTATTAGCTTATTTTCCTATCTTTGTTTTACCGAATGCATATTTTTATTAAGCAATCCCATATTATGAAATAGTTAAGGTAACTTGCTAAAATACACTATATTCGTTTTTCCTTTTTCTTTCAGAGCTGTAATGTTACTTTTCATTCTGCTAATGACTGGGAATTTTTGATTAGATGTGCTATAGCTATGAGTCACATATAATACAAACATACACACTTTGTATCAAGTCTTTACTACATATATGCATCCGTATTGTACAATATTTGTATGCAGTAATCTAGCACATATGGTAATCATTTCAAAATATTCACCTGCAGTGTGTTTGAAGACAGAAAATATTCCCAGCAATAGTCCTTTTCATATCTGAAGCCACGTCGCCTAGCTTCTTCCCAGCCCTATGGGGCACAGAAATGAAGAAATTTATACTGTTCCCTGCAGCAAGGATTACTTACTAGTTTCCATCTTAATTTATGTTAATAGTTTAATCTTCCACTGCTGTTTCATTTTCTTCATAAAAAATTCAAGGAATTTTGAGACCGGGCCTGGTGAGGCACATCTGTAATCCCAACTACTTTGGAGGTAGAAATAGGAGGATCACAGTTCCAGACTATGCAAAAGTTAGTGAGACTTTTTCTCAAAAAAAGAAGCTGGGCATGGTGGCCTAAGTCTGCAATACCAGCTACTCAGGAAGTGAAAAGCAGGACTGCAGTTCAAGAGGGGCTTAGACAAAAGTCTTAGACCCTAACTTAAAAAAAAAAAAACAACACTAAAGCAATAAGGGATAGGAGTGTGACTCAAGAGACAAACTGCCTGCCTAGCAAACATGAGGCAATGAGTTCAAATTGCACTCTGAAATTTACAAACTGAAAAAACAAATTCTTCATTGAGCTGGGTATGGTGGTGCATGCCTGAAATCCTGGTGACCTGTTTGAGACAAGCAAAATGTTACTGAGACTTCAGCCTCTGGTAGTGCTACTCAGTAGGTGTAAGTAGGAAGACTGCAGTCCAAGCTAGCCCTGGGCAAAAAATGTGAGCCCCTATGGGAAAAATAACTAAAGCAAACAGGCTGGGGGTGTGGCTCAAGTGATAGTGCCTGCTTAGCAAGTACAAGGCCCTGAGTTCAAACCCAAATACCACCACTGTAAAAAAAAAATCCCACAACTTCCTTGTGATCCTTGTCCTTAAAGCTAACTGCCACCAATGTTCAAGATTTTTACATAATGTATTTATCAAAATCAGCACACTTGTAAACAAATTCCAGTGCTACTATATACTTTCAAACTTCGTAAATATATCTTTCTCAGCTGGAGAAAGAAACAGGAAAAAAGGAAAGATGGATTGAATAAACTCAAAGGAAAAAAAATATGAACTTTCCAGTAGCATGCAGTAAAACATACAAAACAGAACTACAATAAAAAGATACTGCCTCTATAAATCAAATTATATTTAAATTTCACAAAGATGAGTAATAAATATTTACCTTCCGATAAGTCTGGCTTTCAGAAACAGAAACTATTTTCCTAATATGAATTATGTACATGATTATTACTTATGAAAATGGTGAACTATCAAATACAAGAGTAGTTTATTAACAAATACAGTGTCACAAAAGTTTGTAAGACAAAGATACAAAAGAATAATATCAAATACAAAAACTTGAGATAAATTATTCATCAAACACAAATTAAGACTTTCTCCCGAAAGGGTAAATATAATGAGCTACTAGAAAACTAAAGCGGAATTACTTTTTTTCCCAAATGTTCACCTAATTTTAACTACTCTTGGCAACTTAATCCTGGTATGAATTTTTGAAAGTCAAGTATGTTCCTCCTGTTACATTATTAGTTTTTTCACTTGAATAATCTGCTGTAATCCAAAACAAGATATTTTTTTATTACCTCAAATGCATGCACAACTGTCAGGTGATCACTTCTAGTTTCCTTTGCCAATTCCTTTCTTCTTTCATCTGCAATTTTTTCTTTTCCCTAAAAAAAACACGTAAAATAAATAGTTCTGTAATGGAGAATTATATTCTTTTAAAAAAGCTAATGAAAAATGTATTGAAGCAATCCAATGACCACTTTCAGCATCTCAAAAGGCCTAACACCTTTATTTCTGTATTTCTTACCAATGGGATGACGAAGGGATCTTTGAAGCTGAGACTAGCAGCAATGGTGAGTACTGGGTCTAAGCAACAGAACAGAGCTCCGAAGAGAATCATTTTCCCAATGTGCGGCTCAACTGGTAATCGCGCCAAGTGGACTCCAAGAGGTGTCAATTCTTCTTGTTTATCCAGAGCATTCTAGAAAGAAAAGTTTGTTGTTAAAATAGGCATGGTAAAGCATTACATTTAAAGCTTTTTTGTCCAAATTCCCTAATTGTTCAATTTTCATTTTCTTCATCAAAACTTCAATATTAATGTCAGCAAAGGTTAGAAACTTATTAAACAAAACCAACTGAGCTAAATAAGCCAAGATCAAAAAGTCAAATTTCTCATGTTTTTTGCTCATTTGTGGAAACCAGACACCAGAATGATGATGGTGATAATGGGACATGAATGTAAAAGGAGCACTGTCTAGTGAGGGAGTCAGTTTGGGGGGCAGGTAGGAAAGGTAAAGGGGACTGAGATATATACATACCTGGACAACAAAACCAAACACACCAAACATGGCTTCAAATAGGGGGAGAAGAAAAGGGAGGTATGGGAATGTAATGGAGGGAGTGAACTTATTCAAAGTTCACTGTACACATCTATGTAATTATCCCAATGAAACTTCCTCATTTTGTATGCTAATTAAAAATTAAAAATTTAAAAATCAAACAACAAAAACCCAGAACTAATCCACAACTGGGTTTTATTGGAAATGTTGGGAGAAAAACAATGAACTAGCAAACTTTCAGCTAAGAAAATCACATACTAAAGCACAAGAGTTCTCAAAAAAAGCAAAACCAAAGCAACATTATTATACACTTGGATGAAATGTACAGCCCTAGATTCTCCTAGCTTAACTTAGGTACTATGAGACAGGAAGCCAAACGATAAAGGACTGATCCAGAACCCCAGAAAATGGGAATAGCTCCTGCTCTGATTCCCTAAGACATTTGATCCAACCGTACTACTGAGGACAGCTAGAAAAGTAGCTGTAGAAAACCGAGAAGCTAACAGAGCTACAATAATAGGTCTTGGATGTGGGGAACGACAGATATTCAGGGAGGTGAGCCAATAAGCTGGGTCCTCTTTTCCTGGTGAAATGACATATATCCTCTCTGGAAGGTTATTGTACTAGGCTTCAGAGTTTATCTACAAATAATTTTGTAAATAGAATTTCTAGTAGGTAGATAAGAAGATACAAAAAACAGCCCTTGAGGATCCCATGAGACATAAATATCTAAATAATTAGGGTATAAATGCCCTCAAACTTTTTAAATTAAAACTCTTAATGCCCCTAATTTCTTTCTAAGCCTACCATAATCTTGCTATCTAATGCTGACAGGAACATTTGAGGAAAAGAATACTAAGTAATTTTACACATGAAAAACATAAAATAAAAACTGTAAGAACAAGCTGAATCCCAGCAGCTGGGTTTATTTCAGGAACACTGGCTTAACATTTGAAACATCAATGTAATAAAAAATAATCATGACCAGAAAAACTTAACCTTATTATTAGGGTAAGAGGGTTTTACAGCATTAATGAATACAAAGTCAATATTCAAAAGGCAAATTTCATTTCTATTTATCAGCATCACAAGAAAATGAAAAATCTTAAAGCTAGAGTAAAATTAAAAATAACATCAATCTAGAAATACATCTTTAAAAAATGCATAAAACTTCTATGTAGAAAACTCTAAAAGACTGAAATTAAATACCTAACTAACAGAAGGATGATAGCTCCTGTTCTTTTTTGTGAAGACATTGTAAATATGTCAATTCTTCCCAAGATGGTAAGTAAGGTGGTACAGCATCACTCAAGATTGAAACACAGACTAAGAGAAGAATATAAAGCCTGGGAACAGATAAACAAATCCATAATAAATGCCTGATCTATGACAAAGGCTGAAGAACAAAGGATGAATTTTCTATAAATGGTGGTTTACCAATGAGACCGACATATGAAAAACTAAGACTCTCTTTTCTTTTTCTGGCAGTACTGGTATTTGGACTCATGACCTCACGCTTGCTAGGCAGGTAACCTACCACTCGAGCCACTCTGCCAGCCCCAAATTTAAGATTCTTATCACTCAAACTTACACATACACAAAGCAAATACAGATGGACAGTACATATCTAAATGTGAAAGATAAAATAGTTAAAAGAATCTTCATGATCCTAGAGTTAGCAGACTTGCACGGGGCAAAAACAGTAACTTACTGACATATTTGACAACATTAAAGTTAAAAATTTGTTGATCAAGACACAAAAAGAATAAAGGGGAAAATATAGACATGTGCAATACACAACTGATAAAGGGCTCATATCAAGACTACACAAGAAGTGTATTATGACCTACAATCTAAACGAAAAACAGGCATAAGAGACTTTCCAAAGGGACAATGAAAGTGAAAAGCTGCCCACAAATTCAGTAACAGTCATGGAGATGCAAATTAAAACTACAAACTGAAACTACTACATATCTACCAGTACAACTAGAATGAAAAACCTGAAGCTGCAGAGCAATTAGCTCTCACCCACCACTGGGAGGACAACTTGTTTAACACCTTTAGAAAACTGCTGAGCAGTATCTACCAAACTTTATCATACCCACTGTTCATGACCCAGTGAATTTGCCTGTGAGGTATATTTGAACACGTGTACCAGGAAACACTGTACCAGTGTTATATGTAATATTCCTAAATAGGAAATAACAAAAATGTCTTTCAATAATCATAAAGTAAGATATGGCAAAGAAACAAAAACAAATGAACTATAGCTAAAAGCACAATGCAAATGAATCTCACAAGAAGCCAGAGCTCCACCCCTCCCACCAATCCCTTCCCAGAAAAACAAAAAGCCCTGCACCCTATATGAATTCATATAAAATTCATAAAACCAGCAAAATTAAACTCAACTATTTACAGACATGCATATTTGTATGATAAAACTACCAAGAAAAATAAGAGATTAAAGCAATGACAAAGATTATCTTTATTACTAAGGAGCAGTGGAACAATTGAAGGGCATAAGAAAGGGACACACTAGGGATGCTTGTATTTCTTGCCATCAGTAATTGGTATGTAGTGCTTCCTTTGTGATAAATCCTTAAGCTGCACATTTCTGGGGGTTTGTTTTTGTTCTTTTTGACCAGTGGGACCTGGGCTTCACACTTGCAAAGCAGGCATTCTACTCCTTGAGCCACACCTCCAGACAAGCTGTATACTTTTTACTATGCTTAATTTCTCTGGTTGTATTTGTTGAATTTCAAAATAGAAAGTTTTCAAGACATGGGCCCCATAAGTACCCCTTCTTGGCAAGGGTTCTCTGGCCTTTTCATAATTTCATTGTCTACCGGTGGCTAAGAAGGGCTCTTTATTCAGCTGGGAGAGAGGAAGTCCTTCCACCTAGGCTCCCTGAAATCAGAAATTCTGTCCTAAGGAAATGAGCTTTAATAGTAAATGACAGGTTGAGGATTGTAGCATTTTGGAAAGAGGTCACCTGTTAGTATTCAAAGAAAAATTTCCATGCTATTATTATTTGCATTTGGCAAAAAAAAAAAAAATTGTAGTAATCAGAAAGTGCAGAATAAACAAACTCAATTCATTTTAAGAATAAACATGAAGACCAGTAATAGAAAAATTTCATTTAATTTTAAATCAGGCCAGAAATGAGAATAAAAAGTGTAGAAAGCCTTAAAGCAGCACAAGGACGGGGTGGGTGGCTCATATCTATACTCACAGCGACTTGGGAGGCAAAAGTTCGAGACCCCCACCTCAATCAATTAAAAACAATAAATAAGGGTGGGGCGGCATGAACCTGTCATTCCAGCTACAGGGGAACACAATGCAAGGCCCTATCTGAAAAGTAACAGAAGTAAAAAGGGTTGAGGACATGGCTCAGATGGTAGAGCACCTGCCTAGCAAGTGTGAGGCCGAGTTCAAACTCCAGTACCCCTCAAGAAGATAAAAAGACAGAAGTATCACCTTATCACTTTCTAACGTATAGCTCATACACTATGCTGAAAGCCAAATAGAAAACCAAATTCCACACACACATTCACTGGCTTACTTTACTTGTAAATTTTAACACTCTAAATATAGGTTAGAATTTTTTAAAAAATAAAATTTACCAGTTCCATGAGATGTTTTATGGATAGCTGCACTGCCTCATTAGATGGTGGATCCATTAATCTACTCAGAAAACAAGCAATTCTACCAAGCCTTAAAATCTGGGGGAAGACAAACATAATTAAACATGTATCACACACTGACATAATAACCTAGTCCTGCTTGTGCTGAATAAAGCTGACTGCTTAAGTAAAGCATCAAACTTACATATGATTTTCAAGTTAGTTATTTTATCAAAATGAATTAAAATATTTAATATGTGATTCCATAAGATGTTTAAAGGTCTATATACTTTCACTACTATTAGTGACAAACAGTAATCAATAGTAATCAACTGGTTAAGAATTATCTTCAAAATAAGCTTAGCTACATCAAGATACGTAAGATGCCAAGAAAAAAAAAACAAGCAATTTTTAACAAAGATGTAATAACAGTACCCAATATTTACTGAGCACTTTGTGTCAGACACCATTTTAAGAATCTTATATTAAGTTAAATAATCTGCCCAATGTAACAGAACTATCTTTTCAAGGAGAAAGTGGGATTCATACATAGGTAGCCTGGCTCCAGAGCAGTTCATGATCATAAAAACTTTTAATACACATTTGAGGAACATTAAGTACATAGTTTATTCACAAATGCAAAAAATACATAGTAAAAAACCCCCTCTTGAAGATTAATCTAGTACCTTCTTCTATATAAAATGCTGAAAATCAGAACACTTTTCTTTTTTTTTTTTTTTAATTCTCCCACCTAATTTACCTTTATTTGCAAACAAAGTTCTTCCAAAGGCGTTCTCAAAATTTCTGGTAGTTGATAGTCGTCTAGAAGACTTGCTCTAAGACCATTATATAGATGATAGCAGTGACCAGGCTGAACTCTTAAAAAACAAACAAACACAAAACATGACTTATTAGAAATGTAGAGAAAAGTGTAGGAAGGGAAAGTAGACATACATTTCTTACTAGCTACCATGTAAATGTTATTTCATTTCTATGAATCCTATTTCCTTCTTTTCATTTGTGTGGAAAGACCCTAACCGCTCTACCCCAATTTCCCAACACTATTTGTTTTGCTTTTTTGTCCCTTGCTTCTTTCATTTTTTTACTTCATCTTTTTAATGAATGTGTAACTACTGCACATATTTATGGAGTACAATGTGATGCTGTAATATACATATACAATGTGTACTGACCCAATCAGGGTAACGAGCATTCCCATTTCTTTAACATTACTTTGGGGTGGGAGTCTTCAAGCACCTCTCAATAAAATATGAAATATATTACTGTGACTACAGTCACCCTTTACTGTACTTTAGAACACTATTTAACAATGATAAAACACAAATGGGAAGAGGTGACAGGTTTTATGTAATTTCAAGCAGAATAAGTAGTTGTAAAAACTTTTACTGCTGTAACAATAAATTCTAAAAGCTTCTACTATTTTTTCCACAAGCCAACAAGATCTACTATCTATTATGAAATGTGTCTGAACATCTCTGTGGTAGAAAATAACAGTACTCCCAATGACAACACCACAATATAGCTTTTACTGTCCTCCAAAATAACCATCAATCTAATTAAGCTCTAATAAACTGCCTCGAAATTGAGTTATACAGGGATAATCTGTAAAGGTGACAGGAAGTCAGAGCTCTGCAGATGAAGAGTACGAACTAAAAACAAAGGGATGAGAAAATAGTAACGTTTTCTTTCAATTCTCCTTTTCTTAGATAGAGCCCTATCTGAAGATGAAAGGTAATCTCTTATTTTTTCTACCTGTGAGAGTCAAAAGAAACTCTCTTCAACTCTTAGACATACTTTTCCTCACTAATAGGAGAGATACATTTATTTCTTACCCTGCAACCACAGAAATGGAGAAAAAGCACTCTCCTTTTGTTTTTGTTGGTGATTAATGATGAAAAAAATCATTCCTGCTATAAAGTACAGCAATTCAGGGCCTAGAATGTGGAACCGGACTGCCTGGATTCAAACTCTAGCTCTGCAACGTATGAAGCTGTATGACTTTAGACAAGTTATTTATAATGTCTTTGTTTCAAATTTCCTTACTCTTAAAATGGAGATAACAACATACCTTAGAGCACTGTGGTAAAGATCACACGTATCAGCTGTTTAGATGTACTAAGACTCTAATAATATTATTGTTAGGTAATTCAATACTTTAGCATAACTAATTTTAATTAGACTGAAGAACTAGAGGTAAAACATTCAAAAAACAGAAAATTTGGTACATAGTTTTCCAAATAAACTATAATTAAAACAAATTTTCCTAGCCGGGTATGGTAGTACATTATCAGTAATCCCAGCACTAAGGAGACTGAGTCAGCAGGATCACGAGTTCAAAGGCAGCCTGGGCTATACAGTGCCATGCTGCCTCAAAACAAACAAAACCAACAACTACTCCTACTTAAACTAGTATTCAAAATACTATGAAAAGTAGCTCTTCTAGTAATTAAGGTTTTAAGTCACAGCAACGTATTTTGTACACACTTTTTAAAAGTATGTTCGGGCTTTGGACACAGTTTCCACCTTACCTTCCAGCTCGGCCTTTCCTCTGTTTGGCATTAGCTTTGCTAACCCACTCAGCAGACATGGTACTGATGTTGTTCTGAGTGTCAAAATGTGTCTCTTTAATTTTTCCTCCATCTATCACGAAAACTACATCATCTATGGTAATGCTGTTTGGAAAATAAATAAAGTATTAAGTAAAACCACATCAAAAGCACTATTATCCTATCTCAGGCCTACTGATGGAGTTTGTAGTGCATGTTTACTGGGTGACATGGATTTTAGCAGTTCAGGACTTTCACCACTCTTCTAGTACCTGCCAGCATCACAGGGATCAAGCACCTCCTAGTTGGTAGCACCAGTGGCAACAACGGCAGCATAGAGCCCATTCTGAAGACCTTGTGTAAGCTCTTATTTGCCCATAGTCAAACATCTTAGCTTTTCTGAGGCCTTTTTCTATCTAGCCCCGTGGACCTATGAGGGCCATGGTTTAATATCAGGTTACAGGAAATAAGTTGTCTCAGTGACTGGACTGTATATTAGTACCTCCAAAGGAACACAGAAATTTTTAAAGGCTGTATATAACTAATTACCAAGTAACACTACCCCTAACTGGGGACCAGGCAAGCAGGACTAGATTTTTTAGAAAAGCTTTGGGAAAAAAATTAAAGGACTATTTTGATAAAGTGGGCTAAAAATAGTACAGTTTTTTAAAAAAATGACTAAGTTAAAAAAGATTTTTAAGAAATTACAAAGTATACTATAGAGAAAAAAGAGTAAAGTTACATTAGTATGTATAGGGCTCAAAACTATATAATCATCAATAATTGATATTTATAACTTTTTACCTAGTCTCTGCAATATTGGTAGCAATTACTATTTTCCGAACACCAGGAGGAGTTCTTTTAAATACCTGTAAGGATAAATACATCAAAATCCCAAAAGAGTACTAACTTCTGATAAGTTATTTTGCAATTAATAATTACTTCAGATACACTTTTAGCATTCTGCATTCACTTACTGCCATATACATCTATTATTTATAAGTATACATATAAAGTAAGTCTACATCATTCTCAAAACTATGAAATTCTCTTTAAATTACCTCCCAAACATGTTACAATCTTATCACAAATGAGAGTTGAACAATATGACTGATTAAATGTATAACAAAAACTGGAGAATGTAAGGTAGAGGAAGAGAAGTTTAGTTTAAGGATAACAACTGTGAGGCCAAATCTATAAAGGACACCAACCAGTGAGGCAGCTGCCCAACCCATCAGAAAGTCAAGTGGCTCTACACTACACAAAAGCTTGAGATTAGACCCAAGTAAAAACAAAACAAAACCCTCTGCAAATGCTGAACCCTGTAAGTAATTCTATCGTCAACTATGCCACCGAAACAGAAGGGGGACAGGTAGTTAAGTATCCCTGTCTGCAATCAAAAAAAAGAAAAGAAGCATATACGTATCCCTTGATTTATAAAAACAACAATCATCATAGTCTAGGAGTTAGATGTTCTTCAGCAAACTACATGGTCTACTTGGCAGGGCAGTCAAAGACGGAAGTACTCTAGATACTCTTCCATCATGCTTTGTCATCAAAGGCTTGTTCTCCTTTCTTCTCTTCCCTCACAAATGTACTATAGCTAAGACAACTGGCTTAGTCTTAATCAATACAAAGGTGCCAGCAAAGAGAATTATGTAAAGAGACTTTAATATTTACCTACAAAAAGAGAAGTTAAAGGAAAAAAGGTAGATCTTCTGGTCCATATTATTCTACCAGGACCCAGAAACACTACAGTCCATAAAATTATCTTTCCACTGAGAGTGAAGTATTCATTCTAATCAGCAATATCTGACAGACCTAAAGTCCTCACGATACATTACTGATTAAACACAAAATCTCATACCTGTAATATACTAACAGTGGTAAATCAAAATCTCAAACTTCAAGCTGTTGTATGACACAGATAAATAATTTCTGCCTTGAGTTTATTTTTGGTGCTATTCACGTAACTTTTTCTTTCATTCAAGAAACCCAAACAAGTTATTAGTGAAACCAATTCTTTAAAGTTTTTCCTAATGTTGACAAAATTTGATTCATGGATCGCTTTCTGCTAACAAAGTTTTTGTACAATCATCCCAGAAGACTCATTTGCAAAAGCTCTCAAAGTATTTTTTATATGGATTACTATCTGAAAATATTCCTTAAAAAAATGCAACAGTCCTAAATCTTGCCTCAGTTTGAAAGACAGAAAACAAATTTAACAACGTACCTGTGTCTGGTTTACTGTAGGCATCAGTGAATGTAAAGGTATAATAAGAAACTTATCTGAAAATTAAAAAGTAAATGAAACTTTAAGATACAGAGATGCAGAAAGAGTGCCACTGGAAATGTATGGAATAATAATTCAGCTGCTAGACTACATAGTTCTTAAGCTGTACTTCTACACATAATCAGATCCTGAGTGCTCATTCCAACAAGTTCCAGCTGATATTTTACTCTGTTAACCTATTTTATACTGATGAGCATTTTTTCCAAATTCCTAAAAAAATGAGGTCATTAGCTCCACCCTCACAATCAATTAAACTCCCAGTGGATAAAAATGAAAAACCTCAAATACGAACAGTTTAACTTTAAGGCTCAATTTTATTAGGCAAGTTTTCCACAACTAGAAGAACACTGAAGTAAGACATCATCTTCACACTGCTAAATAAAGAGCTTCAGTATACCTCCAATCTTTATTTGTGACTCAAGAACACCCAACTTCCTAAAAAACAAAACAAAACCTAACCTGGTTTAGGCCACCAAATCCCTAAACTGATGTAGCCTCAGAAGCAATAATTCTTCAAATTAAGTGGGGAAAAAAAAACAAAACAGAAGCTCATACTACGTATGATTTAAATACTGCTCTTGGAAGTGCACTAAAGTACATTCATATAATACCTGATTTGAACATCACTTGTGACATCAAGAGGTCGTGTAAAGTGCTGATATTGTCCCAGCCTGGTAGAAAGACCAGTATTGCACCATCCTATAATGGAAGGAAATAACTATCACAAAAGATCACTTTAACAAGCCACACAGTGAAATTCTGTGAATACTTACATCTTCATTCAAATTACACTAGCTCTGGATAATTTTTTTCACTATCTAAAAGAATATAGGTCACTTTAAAAAGTAAGATTTATAACCCAAAGATTTTGTTTAGTCTTTCCTTTAAATGGATGAAATGCCTACATAATTTTACTACGTTAAAGCTATTCCCAGTGTCCAGTATAATTCTTCCAAACTGAAGAAAATTAGTTTTTTATCACTTTGATACATTAATAAAGTTAATTACTTGAAGGAAGGAAAAACAAAACAAACTAACCTCTTCTTCCAAAACAATGTATCGGATAAGAGCAGCAATCAAATTCAGATCAACTTTATCATCATCTATCATTTCTAAAACATCCACAGTACTTGCAGAATACCTGTCAAATTAAACAGAAAATCATGAAATTCTTGATAGGTTCCTGTGGCTTAATTTTATATAAAAGCTCAAAATTAAGTCAATATGCAAATGGAGAAACAATCTATAGATAGAATTACCGGGAAAGCAGTGCTAAGAGTCAAATCAACACAATACTAAGATGGGTTTGTGCATAAAATCAGTAAGACAGCCCCACGTTTTGTTTTAGCCCCTCCTGGCTGAGCACAGCCAGGTGTGTTCTCATCTTCAAACAACATTACCTTACCTTCTCCGAAGTTCCTTTACATAATCTGGCCAGCGTTCTTTATAGATTGCTTCCTTTTCTTCTTTCTCTTGTCTGTTTATGTGTCCTTGCATGAAACCCCTTTTAAACTGGGATCTGTGTTCTTTTTGTTCTGGAACATATCTAAAATAAGGTGATTTTTTTGAGACTAGGTCTTGTTTGGTAGCCAAAGCTGGCTCACACAATCCTCCTTGCCTCAGCCTCCTGGGTCCTGGGATTAGAGATGTACGCCTCCCTGTCCACCAACAGGTTCTTAAATATCTTCACTTCTTTGTAACTCTTTGGGTTTAGCTATAACTTTTTACATTGGGCACTTAAAAGTACATTTTCACTGTACTTACCAGTGAAGGGTGGCTAATAACCAGTTTTGATATTTCAGATAAACATTACTCTTTTCTATCTACTGAAGTATATAAACCTCTATAGTATCTTTACAGCCAAAACCAAAAAGAGTAACTTTTATCTTTAATTTTAAGCTTTTTCTAAAACAAAAGTTAACATTAACACAAGTCCAAAGTAATAATTACTGATTGCCTAGTAGAAAGACTCAAACTTTAAAAGCCTGAGTTTTCCAAACCTAACTACACATAAGAATTTCTTGGGTAGCTTGTAAAATGCAAATTCCTAAATCCTATTCCTATTGATTCCTATGAATCCTACTGACTTAGATTCATATCTTTTAATGTACACATTTTAATGTGTGACCCCAGGAGAATCAAAGAGTGTATTGTGAACCCACAGAACCACGTAAAGATCTATATAATTCTGTTTGTACAGATACAGCTAATGGCAGGTCCAGAATCAGCATTAAGTCTCATGTGTCAGTCCAGTGCCATACTGACTCCATCATGCTACTGTGACTGCTGCAAACACGGAGTGCACATGTGTCAAAGAACTCTTCCTTACCATTGTGAGTTCTGAGAAGCATGGGGTGGGGGAACAGGAGGAAGGAAAAAATGAACCTACAGTTTAACCTCAAAGCCTTTCAGAGTTCAGCGACAGCACCTGCATGGAATGGGGGAATGGGTACAGCGTGGGCTTTGGAATCAGATGGAAGTTAGGGCCTGGCCTTGCCAATGCTTAGTTATGAGACCTCACACAAAGTTCTAGTGTTTAGTCTAATTTGAGCAATTAACACTCATACAGTGGAACTGTCACAAGAATAAAAAAGTGATAAAGCATACCACAAAGTGTTAATCCCTTTCCCTATTCAGTGTCTGTGCCCCAGGATTCTCCTGAGAATTCAATACATGTAGTGGCACCAACCTGAGGTAGGGAACTAAGACAAAGATTTGTCCTAGTCAGAATGGACCCCCAGCTGATTTCTTTCCCAAAATTAGCAATTCCAAACACCAGAGTTAACCTTCGACCACTCATCAGCCCTCAGTGACAACTTTCCATGTCACCTTGTCCTACTCTTAGTCTGGCCATTGTGTTTTTCCCTCCTGCTTCCCAGTTATACATCTCTTCTTCAGGGAAGTGATAGCTGCAGGCTTCTAAGGAAAATTTCTAACCAAGGACCACCGTTCTAGTTCTCCTCTTAACACTGGTTTGGGGATGGCAAGTGCAGATACCATCTTTTTGCTTCAAAAAGACCCCTTTGCTACAGTTCCTTGTACATTCCCTGCTTTCTAGGAAGTTTAAGTGAGCAATTCATCACCATCTACTTTAGATTGCTGGTGCCCAAAACTTTAGTTTCATTATTATAAGCTGTTGTATAGTCTCCTCTTACAAAGTAACTGCTAAATGTGTCATAGTAGAAAGTGGGGCACATAGCAAAAACGCTAATTGCATCTGGCATATTAGGAAATAGTACATTTAGTATGGACAAGTCACAGAATATGTAACATGAAACTGACAGTCAAAAAGGGCCCGACAGTAAAGTGCGTTGGGATGACTAGCTAAGGAAATTGAGGACTGTACTCTCCCAGCCTTTTTCCCATCAAGGAACAGAAATATAATTCATATAGCCTGATAGCAGCTAATGGTCAGTGGCCAGAGTGTTGAGGGAATCAAGAAATGGGTGTGCCAGCTGAGTTACTATGCTGTACACTATGTCAAACCAATAAAGGCACTTAAACAATTTCTCTCTCACAGGATTGGATTTATTTTTAGGAAAATGTATGGCAGTAGTAACAAGAGTGAAAACCACAAGACAGCTAACAAGAACCTATAGTACAAGAATGAGACTGCAGATTCAAGGCTATCAGGGATTAGGAGTTAACTAGCAAAATGACTTGTTAACTAGCAAGTTGACACATTATACACTCAGCATATAGAGAATAAATGCTTGATGAATACTAGCTTTTTCACTAACAGTACAGAAGACTTGGTGGAAGACAATATCACTAAGTATCATAAGATGTATTTGGGGGCTGGATGCATGGCTCAAGCAGTTGAGCAACTGCCTAACAAGCATAAAGCCCTTATTACCACCCCCCCAAAAAAAAAGAAAAAAGACATTTGGCAAGACACATTGTTTTGTTTTACTTTTGTTTGGAGATTAATGTGATCAGATATATGACAATGATTCTGGCTTCAAAAATGTTAGGTTCAAGGTATCTGGTACTGGGATTTAAACTCAGGGCCTCACACTTGCTAAGCAGGCGCTTTACTGTTGGAGCCACTCTGCCAGTCCAGAAAACAACTTAAGAGTTCAGAAACAGTTTTATTCTTAAACCCACAGCACTTAAAAGATATGAAAATAGAGAACTGTGGTCACAGAAGCAGAAAGGATTACACAAATGTAGAAAAACAAGAAGAATCCTGGAGGAAATCATATTTTATGATGGGTGATGGAAGTCAGCAAAGGATAATAAAAACTAGAGATTCCCAAACTTTCCTGCCCAAGTATCCTTAAAAAATACTAATTCCTGGGCCAGGCATGGTGGCTCATGCCTATAATCCCAGCTACTTGGGAGGCTAGCCTGGGAAAAAGTATTAGAACTTCTCTCAAAAAACAAGGACATGCCTGAAATCCCAGCTACTTAGGGAGCAGAGGTGGGAAGACCTTGGTCAAGACTGGTCTGGACAAAATCATGAAAAACAAAACTAAAAGCAAAAGGACTAGGGGCCTGGCTAAGCGGTAAGGTGCTCGCTCATCTAGCGAGCATAAGGCCCTGAGTGTAATACCCAGTACTGCCACCACCAAAACCAAACAAAACAAACAAGAAACAGGATTCCTGGCTTCCAAACAAAATTCTGTAATGGAATTAAAATGTGGACTACGAATGTGACACATGGATTTTTAAAACCACAGGTAATTTTAATGTGTAGCCAATCCCTGATCCATAGAAAATGTTTTAAAAGATAATGGTCAATTCTGAGTTTCCAATATTAAAGTTTGACATGAGAAAGGTAACATATTTAGTCCATTTTATTTTATTTCCTACTGTTTATTTACCTTATTTTTTCAATTATATCTTCCAAAAGATATTCCACAACCGGAAAAGTAAAACCAGGTATATGTATCATTGGACAGTTACCTATTGTGGTAGATGAAAAAAGAAATCAACACACTATGTGAGCAAGACAATGACTCTTAACATTTTTAACTTTAAAAAATAGTCCTGTAGTTTATCTGCTATTTTCCCATATCTGGTTTAATAAGCTGCAGCAGTCTTGCCTAAATTCAGTATTTTACTTCTACTAAAATGTATACACTTTTACGATTCTACAAAATAACACAGAACACCAAAGAATAGAGCTATTTTAAGTTGAATTCAAAACCTGTTACAACTCTTTTTTCCATCAGTCAAGATGGCACACATCACAATCCAAGTTTTACTGAAAATGAAGTAAGGAGCATTACTCCTGTGAATCCCAGAATTAGGGGGAAAAAAGTATCAAAACAAGGTCTAATCAAATATTAAATTTTTAACATTTCAAAATCACTAATAAAATTACCTCAGTACATTTATTTAAATATTTTTTAATCTCATAACAAGCAAAACAAGAAGCACACACTTATAAACAAATGCCAAGACAGCATCAGAGGTCAAAATACCTGAGCTATTACCACTGCTTTGCATCTGATCTATGTAAATTTGAGCAAGTTGCTAAATGTTAGTTCCAGGTGTCTCATTTTAAAAAAGGCATAACTGCCCCAGCTAATCTCACAACGATTAACTGGGATATACTTTAAAGAGCTTTTAAAAAACTGAGAAAAAGAAGATTAAATATACTATTAAACTTTTACTCTTTCCTTACCCTTTTTCCACCACCATTATAAGCAGGATAGACAGTGAGGATTAATTAAAAGAATATATTTTGCCATTCAAAGAATATGCTTTGTATTTTTAATTCCTTAATTGAAACATACTCCAAATCTGGTTTCAGATTCTCTTGTCCTTTTGCTGATTAGCAACCTTGGATAAGTGAGTTAAGTTATCTGAGGCTGCTTTCTCATTTAAGAATGGGAGTAATGCATACCTCACAAGGTATTATAAGAATCAGTGAAGACAAAGCACCAAATACACTAACTTGAAACACAAATACATTACCAAATATACAAGTCAATGGATACATACCATCAATGTAAGCGGTCACCAGTATTATTATTAGCAAACTGTCAATCAAGTTTGTGACAGTACACGTGCCACAGAAGAATCACCAAAAAGCTTATAAAATGTTTCAAATCTGTTGTTTGATTTCAATGATGCCACCATGGTTTCTGGTGGTGTTACCAAGAAATCACCTGTCTGTACTATCAGAGCAGACATGATACACCATTTAAAACAGACCCAACTGTCTAATCCAGGAAACTAGAAGGCAAGATAATATTAAAATAAATTAGAGACTGATTTTTGACTACTCTATACCTAACACAGTATTATTTATTTAAAAAGTTAAATTCAGTGGTTTTCTAGCACCTCCTCTAATGTAGTAAGTTTTACTTACCAAAATATTCTGAAAATTTCTCAGCATTTAATGTTGCACTCATCAATATTACTTTCAGGTCAGATCGAAAGTTGAGAAGATCTTTAATAACAGTCATCAAAACATCTGACTGCAGATTTCTTTCATGAATTTCATCAAGTACAATATGACTAACACTGGACAAATGCCTACAACAGAAGTGCAAAGTATGTAACTAGTATAAAACTTTAAAACAATCATTTCTCCTTTTGGTAATATTTTTAATTCCTTAATTGAAACATACTCACGAGTCTGACTGGAGCCACTGAAGGATGATTCCTGTTGTACAGTATAAGATAGAACCCTGCTTTCTTGGCAACCGACTGTGAATGAAACATGAGTTAAAAATTCTTGGGTTTATTTTCTCATAATTTACTAAGTTCCACTAAAATTTAAGGATAAAAGCTTTCTACTTAATTTTTTAGTTGTAACAACACCTCCCTACCATAACAGGGTAATGGGAAATACTGTGCTCAAGTTCATTATGCATTATACTCACTGTCATGAATTATTTATGGGCCCTCAATTTCCTTGTTCAGTGACTGGAAAGCCTGCTCATTTAAACAGGTAAAAGGAATATTGAGCACCAGAAAACAACTAACTAAAGTATGGAAGAGATGGATGGATACCAAAATCAATCAATGAAGTCAGTCAGGGGTGGGCAGTGTTACCAAAAGGTATAGAAGACTAACTCCTTTGAGAAGGACTGATGGCCTACTTCTAAAGTTACTTCTCTAATTGTTCTTTAATGTAAAAGCATATTTTGAAATGGCAATGTGGAGGTTAAAAGATGAGTCTGTAGTAGCAAGTCATCTGTACTGTGGCTGTTTAAAATGTTAATTTTAACAGCAATAATCAGCATCTAGATGGGGAAAGTGTTTTCTTTTGCATCTCCTGTTTCCAAGTTTCTCTGAAACCTATGTGATACACGAAATGAATATTCTTTACCTCTGGAGACGAATCTGGTATCCAGTACTATTACCATTGCCACAAGATTCTGCCCTTTCTGCAGCTACTCTCTCAGCAACCTTTAATTTAAATAAAAAAGCAATTACAAGAAGTACAAATTCCTTTAGGACAAATATCCTGAACATACATGAACATCTGGGATTACCGAAAAGTAGTATTTTTAGATTTTCAGCTGAATCTAAAAAATAGGTATTTATTAAAATCTGAGGTATCTAAAACTGTCTTTTTTCTTCCTTTTTCCCCTTACCTCCCTCTCTCTCTCTCTCTTCCTTCCTTCACAGTACTGGGAATTGAACCCAAGGCCTTGTACTTGCTCTACCACTTGAGCCAGGCTCTCAGCCCTTTGCTTTGTTTTTGACATAGGGTCTCAACTAACTTTACCTGGAAAGCCCTTGTCTCCTGAGAAGCTAGGATTACAGGCATCCAACACCACACCTGGCCTCTGTATATGCCTTTCTTAAGAGCTGTATACTATCCCCTTCTCACATATAATTTTCATTTACCCTTATAAAGTCCTTCCAGGCCAAATTTGCTCTCACTATTTCCAACTGCTTTTTTTATGGGATCCTCTCATTAATTTCTACATTTCTGTTTGGCTTTTCTCAAACAGCTGGAAATCATGGCCCAAACTTGTAGTTTTTGAGATTAAATACACACTGGTATTTTCCTTATTTATGCTGTTATTTTGTGACAGACTCGTATTGCTGAATTCCTAGTTCTTGGTTGTTTTGAAAAATATGGCTACCAAACATATACTCTGGATAAGTCAACATTATTAAATCAATGGTGACTTGAAAAACTAACAGTAAACAGTCTTGAGATAGGACAGTGATGGTGTAAAGTTAGAAACTGAAAATGAGAAGTGTTAAAAGTAAAACTTCCAGTCACCATATCCAAAAACACTGACTTAGACTACATTAATCTTAACATTCCAATTCTAACAGACCTTGGGAAAACGTCACAACAGTCTGGTTAGCATTTCATGCTGTGGGTCATACATGACTGCCATAAGTTAGTGAATATATTAAGTCTAGTTATACAATGGTGCTATGACAAGTTTGTTTTCCAATATTCTGTGATCTTATGTACTTTATAGGAATATGTGCTCGCTGTGATAAAGGTGAAAATTGTTGTTCTACTTAAAATGTATAATTGTCCACAGCTTAAAATACATACTGTATTTATAACCCCAAATATTGCTGTAACAGGTAATATAGTTCCTAAGCACAGATTCTACATTGAATTACTTAGAAATGTGAAAAACAGCGCTATCATAAAATTGAAGAATTCCATAATATGGAAATACATTCACTATTCACTGAATGCTTTAGGAAACCCCAAGCATCTTTAAATATATATATGTAATTCAGATTTCACTAGGTCATCCGGTTCAATGCAACAACAAAAACATAAAGCAAATGTTATTTGTAAAATAGTCTTGTGTTTTACAAGAATGTATAGAACATTCTTGTGTTTTTATAAGAACCTGTGCTTTTCTTTGGAAATTCTGGACTTACGCAGATTAGCTACCCAAGATCACTTAAGCAAAACAAAAAAGATAAAATGAAACAATGCCTTATTTTTCATTATAATGAATTTCCTCTCATTGAATAGCTGGATTTAAAAAAAAAATCACTGAGTACAAAAATGTAGCTTAACAAAGTAAGGCTTCTCACTTTCACCTCTATTAAATGTACTTATATACTGAAGAAACAGAATTGAAAATACTATTAAGCCAGTCAAAGGACAAAATTCATTTTTTACTTTTTGGTGGTACCAACCTTTGAACTTAGGACCTCATAATGCTAGGCAGGCTCCCTACCAACTTGAGCCATGGCCCATGACCATTTTGCTCCAGTTATTTTTTTAATACAAGGCCAGCGTAGGACAGCAATCCTCCTACCTACACCTCCTGTACAGCTGGGATCACAATATGAGCCACTCTGCCCAGCTTTTGTTGAGGCAGGGTCTCGCTAACTTTCTGCACAGGCTGGTCTCAAACTGCAACCCTCCTGATTCCTGTCTCTCTAGAAGCTGAAATTATGGGTTTGAATGTTGACCCAAAGTCGTGAAATTTAGAGCATCTAATGATGAAGATTATTTGGAGCTTTGGATTCATACTGAAATCCTCCTGGATTAATAATTTATATTGAATTCGTAAATATCTATTATCTGTAAGAGAGACATTGTTCAATCTTTTGGCCTTCACTGCCAAATATTTGTCAGCCAAATATTTGCTTTCATAGCAACAAATCCTAAGCTGAATTAAACTTTTAAAATCAGTTAAGTTCCAGCAAAAGTACTTAAAGGAAAATGGCAGACAAAAGAGGAACTTTTTAAAGTGAGAGATTACTTACTGAAATGGCACTAATTCTTCTTGGCTGAGTACAAACTATCCTGCAAGCAGATCCTTTTCCTCTTTCGATGTAGTTATCCAAAATGAACTGAGTAACTTGAGTGGTTTTTCCACAACCAGTTTCACCACTTATTACTGTTACCTGATGGCTATCAATTAAATTTACCAATTCCTATTTCAAAAGGGAAAACAAGTAGAGGATATCACGTTCACTAAGTCTGAAAAGATACTAATCAAAATGCTACCAAACCGAAGTACATTATTGCTTTTTAAATTTTGTCATAAACAACACTCCTTGTTGCATAGATCACTCTACCAATTTTCAAGAGATAGTAGCATCAAATTATAAACACAGAAGGAAAACACTATGAAGAAAAACATCCTAACATGAATAGGAAAAATAGCTAAGTTCCATGGTAAGTATTAACACTACACTCAAAGAATGTTGACATCTGGGGCTGTTGCACATAGAAGCAACCCTCAATCAGATAACCACTGAGGATATCACAGAGTTATATCACAATTCATATACATGGCTTTGCATGCTGGGCAAGTTTTGCAAAGTTTTAGGAACAAGGAACAATATTATGTATTTTAAGATTACTTTCTTTCAAATAATTAAAATAAAGTTTTTAAATACCTAAATTAAATGCAAAAGTTTAGATATTTAGAAAACCTTATCTTTGGGGAAGATCTCAGTTCTTAAAAATGTTACACAAACCTTAACTATTTTTAATATTAACATTCAATATATTAATATTCAAAAGGGTATTATAGGTTATATTTTCATCTACAACGTAATTTGAAAGCCTAGCTTTAAAAATTCCCCATCTATTTAACACAATGTACGCATCAGAAAAAGTTGTAGCTTTAATACAGTTGGCCCTCCATATCCATGGCTCTGCATCTGTGGATCCAACCAATCAGATACAAAACAGCTGAATGATAATTTTACCTGTAATTTTTGTCATTATTAGATATGCTGTATATAATCAATACATCATTAAGAATTATTTACATAGCATTTATGTTGTATTAGGTATTACAAATAACTGAGAGATAATTTGAAGTATGTAAGTGGCTGTGCATAGGTTCTATGCAAACAGCACATTTCATGAGGGATGTGAGCATCTGAGGATTCTGCTATCTACAGGGTCCTAGACCCAATCCCCCATGGATACCGAGGGACAACTGTATTGGTGTCTATAAAGTGCCAGGCACTATTCTGATTCAACAGATACAGAATGAACAAAACAGACCCTGTCCTCAAGAACTTACATTGAACTAGGAGGGGAAGACACACAGATGTCAGGTGGTAATAAGTGCTATGAAAAGCAAAGAAAAATAAAAATAAATAAGATTGGGAAGACAGAGGAAGATGAGGACTATCTTACTTTATGTAGGGTAATTGTGTGGTGAAATGTAACAAATTAATGAAAGCACTATATTTTGGTGGTGCCTCATTTTACTTAAAATGCTTGGTCTTCATGAAGAGCAGGTATTATCCAAAGTAACTTATTTATGAAAGTTCTATTTTTTTAAATACTGAAGATTTCAATTATGGAGATAAATGAGAAAACTTCCAAAAAACAGTTTCATGACCATTTTTTCCACTTCATCCCCAAGAACTCAAAAGAATAATGTTAACTTCTGTTTAAGAGAAGGTTCATTAATTTATATTTTTTCTTGATTCAGAGCTTTTTTTAAAAATATGTACTATTTTGAAAATCAAATTAAGTATTAGAGCAATTTACCTTTCGCATTCCATATGAAGGCAGCTTTTCCCTGAAATGCTGAAATTTTAAAAAAGTTTTTAATTTTCACAAAATAAATGTTATCAAATTATAATCATGATAATCAGAATGTCATAACTAAATGTACTAGAACCTAACAGCAATCTTATTATCTTATAGCCTGTATTAAATATCAACGCTTTAAAAATTCTTATGAAAGAATTTACCAATCCCTTACTTTTGAAACATTCAAAGAGAGTTCTAAGTTCTAGTGCAGCTAATAGAAAAGAAGTGTATCTTCAAAGTTAGAAGTAAAAGAAATCTCAACTATCATCTCATAGCACTTTAACCACCTCTAACTTACTTTTATCATTTGTTCCAATTTGTTTTATATATTCTTCTTAGATTTGATGTCTACAACATATCCTGTTCTCCATTCATCAGTGCACGTTTATTAATGCAGTAGGCACTGGAATAGATTCAGATGATTTCAGGCTACTTGAGTTAGGAGAAAATTTAATACCCAGAGTCGCTTCAGAACTGCAATCTTATTTAAGTCAAACTCAGGACAGGAATGCGTCAAAGATTTTAATCTCACAGGGCTGCCATAAGATCTCAATGAAAAACCCTTATTTTAAAAAGTAACAGTTTCTGACACATACCTGCTACTCAACAAATCTGTAATTGGTTGGATTACAACAAGAATACTAAAAAGGCAGTGACTAATTCTTTTACATAACACCTTCTCCCTAATTTAAAAAACTTTAATGGATATACTCACACTACATAAAAACATTAATGACTAGCGTTTACATTCAACAAGGTATAGCCAACAAGGTGCCATGAAATAAATTTTCAGTGACATAAAAATAAGCCGGCTTTAATAACATTTTTTTATCAAAAAGACAAAACTTATTAAAAGATAAAATATGTAAAATATAAAAATAAAATTAGACCGATCCTAAAATTAAAAATATGTATGTATAAAAATAAAATTAGAATTGTCCTCGGTAATATAGTTTATTGTCACACTTGTTACAGTCAGGTTATTCTTACTGTACCACAAAAATAACAGTCAATGTGATGAGTTAAAATGAGTTAGTGTTAGAAATAATAGAAGCCATACCTTTCTTCTTAATTTCTATTATGATTTTTAATTATTTAAAAACCATTTTATGACACCTAGAAATATTGATGTCTGTGTCATCAAATGTAATTTACACCCCCACCACTTTCCTCTACAATTCAAAGAAAGAATTCCCAGAGGCTGCCTTGTTGAAGAATCTCACTCATCAGTACCACGCAGCTACCTTTAACCATAAATACATCCTCTCAAGTGTACAAAGAGAGGGACAGGTACTTCCCATTACCTGCATTTCAATATACCGAACGTCAGTTTTTTTCTTTTGTAAATCTTCCAGTAATTTTTGGTCTAAGGTTACATCTGGCTCATTTTCTTGCAAGAGATACTCAGAATCTCGGTCGATATATGATTTGTCCCTGATTCTGAATGTCCTTTTTTCTTGGTTTATCAATTTCTTTTCCTGGTTGTCATGTTTCTTCTCTGAGTTTGTTTTTTTCTCAGCAGAAACTTTAGTACCGTATCTATTTTGATAAATAAAAAGTGAAAAAAGGTTAGACCATGAGCCCTGGAACAACTACAAAAACAGATATGCTGTCTAAATATTTCAAAATCATCAAAACTGAAAGCTTGCATTCTATAAAAATTATGAAGTATATTTAAGATTCTTATAACAAACTCATTTTTTTCCTCCCTTTAGATGAATATTTCCAGATATTCGTTATGGTAGTTTGAAAAGAACTGAAATCCACGTAATAGTTATTCCTCCATTGCAGCTATTTATATTGATTTTCCTTCTCCGATTTTCTGGGATTGGTGTATTTCACGCCTCAATTTCTTTCTGCCACCCATTCTGAGCTATAGATAGAAAACTACATTATTCAGTCCCTGAAATATTTCTAATTTTTTCTATAAACCATACAATTCTAGCAACCTTCCTAAAACAGCATCAATTCAACTTCACATGGACCTCCCCCACAGAAGAATTTTAGAAAAACAAAAATAATGAGTAGGAAATACAAGTAACCCTGTATCTCATGTCCACATAAGCTGTATATGTCACCTAAACCTTTCCTTCCTTTCTCTAAATATGCTTCATCTAGATTAAAAAAAATTACTTCAAGACTAAGTTCTATTCACAAGAGCCTATGATGTCAATTTTTATCATTTTTTCTACCTAATTCTATTTTTAAAAAGTCCCCACTAGTCTTTAAAAGAACACTTTTTGTTTTACCCATGATCTTCAGGAGCAAACCAGGATATCTGTTCTTCTGAATCTTTGTCATTCTTAGCTTGGACAGAATTCAGCAGCTGCACAATTTGCTCTTCTCGTCTTTCATCCATATGCACTACAGCTCTCTATTTTGTAAAAAGGAACAAGGATCTTTATCAACATAAGCATGTATGAAATTATTTAATAACTAAAGAGAGAAAAAGTAATATATGTTGAACAACCACATAAAAGAAACTTAAAATGACCAACACTTGTCCTCTCTGCCAGTCCCACTTCCTGACCTAATGTTACCGTTTTGTATATATCCTTCTATACCTTTCCCCATCAGGTATCTAAATATGACTGGCAAAGAAAGTATGTTTGTCTCTACTATAATTTATAGTTCCCTATAAATGTCCAGTTATTAAAAACCAATGTTCTGTTTTTAAAAAAAGTTGAAAACTTACTATTCTGATAATAATGAGCAAAAGCTCTTGCTTCCCTAAAAATAAATAAATAAATAAACAAACTGGTTTCAGAGGGAGTAAGTAAAATAGATTAGGGCTCATGGACACAGCACATGCAGCAGGTACTTCAAACAATGAAAATAAAGAAAACAACAGATTTGACAAAGATAAGGTTCTTGGTGAACCATAAAAACTTTTAGGAACTTCTAATGTATGTCTAAGAAATAAACTTCTTTTTAGGCAAAAAAGAATGAATGACAAACCCAATTCTTTGGAGACTTTTTTATTTTTTTAAGATACAGCAAGTTTAAAAAGACAGCTGTTCCAGATTCAAGGCTGGGTCCTGAGAGAACAGCAGTAAGATCAATCTTCAGGAGGAGGCTGGTACTTACAGTGTGTGCTTTTGTGTATAGGTGGTGGTGATACTGGAGGTCAAAAGAGGATGCTAAATTTGAATTCTAGGCAATTAAGAACAGTGGTGAAGTTTCCCAATTGTAGTAATTACTTGCAGATAGAAGTATGAATCTCAACCTCTTGACAGATTTTATGTTTTAAAGTTTGGAGTATTCAGAAATTTTGGAGTATTCAGCAAAGAGATAGAAACTGAAATCACAAAGATGTAGGAATTCTTTTAGTTTAGAAAAAAAAAAATATCACCTCCTGGCATTCAAGGGGCCAAAGCAGAAAAGAAAGTCAGTACACAGAATACCATCAAATCTCTTCATCTAAAAACACAAAACAAAAACCTCCCTTAAATCCCCACCCCTACAAGCTAATGCTTGTTCTTCCTCTTTACAGCAAAACTGCTAGAAAGCACTCCATTTCTTCATCATTCCATTTCTCCTTCTCTACTGCAATCTGCTTGACTCCCACCATTGCAATGACTGGTGATAAAAAAGACATGCTCAGCTTTCACCACACCTGTGCAGTGCTAGCTGTGTTGAGTTAATCTTCTATATTCTTCTTAATTTTCTCTACTTTGGCTGCTCCATGCTACTCTTCTACAACTTTCTCTTCCTCAGAAAGAATTTAAATTTACAACTCGAGTGACCTACAGCCCTGCAGCACTGGGGTCACCTGGAAGTACTAGGAAAGTAGAATCTCAGGCCCCATCCCAGCCCTACATTTTAACAGGTGTCAGATGCTTGCTATGTACATTTGAGTCTGAGACCCAATAGTCAAGCTGCCATATCGCAGGTTAATTACTGCTAGAACTATTTAACTGGTCCCTCTGAGCCAGGATTGCCTCTTTTCAATCCATTCCCTACATTGTTACCTGATTATGACCTGCATTAATTAAAAAAAAAAATATATATATATATATATCTCGCAGAAAAGGAAAACAACAAAACAAAAAACTGCTTCAGAGTGCTATGTAGGTAATTAAGTAATATTTCATAATTTTTTTGGTTTAGCTATGTTCTGAGTTGTAAATTAAAATGTACTCTCTTATGTGCAATGTGGCACAGAGTTTGAAATGCACTGCGCTGTCCTCATCTCATCACTCCCCACACCCATGCTCCTTCAGCTCCCTGCACACATCCTTCCTGACGTCTACGTTGTGACACATGCTTCTGCCTGACCAGACTCCTCTCCAAACTCCAAAACCCCAAACACACACGGAGACGTACACTTTGCCATCTTTCAAGTTGCAGTTCAAGGGTTATTACCATTCCAAAATCTTTTAAAATCTCTCTGGCTATGCTTAAAGCCAGACTACCACGATTTCCAGAAAACATGCTAGTGGGACATCAAAATGTATTAGAATGAGACAAAAGTGACATGGCTTCAAATCTCAAGTTGTTAGGCAGAGACTAAATGGCTTAATTTTTCTTTTTTTTTTTTGAAGGACCATCATGAGTGGATGTATAAAGGACAGATTTAATGAGGTGTAGGAGTAGAAGCTGGAAGATCAGTTAAGAGGCTATGAACAGAAAACAGAGTACTGGCTTGATCTATGTAATTATGGTAGAGATAAGTGGCTGGATTTGGGATATATTAAGGAGGCAGAGCAAATAAATTTACTCAAAGAGTCAAAGTTATATTCCATTTGGCTAACTGAATAAATGGTAGTGACATTTACTTAAATGGAGATGGTTTCATTCATAGTAGCTCCTGCACCCTGTAGCTACACCCTTGTGAAAATAGTCAACATTTTTTCCTGACTTGTTTAATTTTTCATGTGTTTCAGTCTTTTTTCCCTACTGCAGTGTAAATTTCCTGAATTTACTTCTTCAGATCCCCATAGCAACATGCATAAAACCTTATTTGAGCAGGACAAGTAGAAGTTGACAAAGTTACTGTGTACATTCGTTTACAGATATGAGTCACTTCTTTCCAATTTCAGTATGACTAGATGTGCCTCCTCATTTTCAAAAAAATCATTTGTTCAAAAAGTTTATTTGGGACTGTCAAGAATAAATTATTTATACATACACACATATATATTGAGAATGGAATCCATGCCTGTAGCGTGCTAGGCTCTATCCATCAGACTCCTTTTGTTTTTTGTAAAACAATGTGATAAACTGTGAACATGAATTTATTAAGCCCCAAAACCGCTTTAATGAAAATGGTTAAAAGTAAAACAAGTGTTTTCAAAAAGTAGCCTAAGAAATGATTTAATTACACCCACATCTAAAAAGCTGTTCTAAGACCTGTATTAAAGACTTCTGCCTAGTGGTAAGTCTTCTGTTTTATTAGAATGAGCCACTCAAGGAACCTGATGCTTTCTTTACTAGAGATCTTCAACACAAATCAAACTGACCAAAACCTGAGGAGACAAACCATATTCTAGTTTCTTCCTCTCCCAGGAGCCTAAAGTTCCTTCTCAAGGTGGAGGTGCTAACCACGAGACCACCCCCCTACTCACCCCGCCCGGGTTTGTGACCCATCCCAACCCCAACCCTGAACCGGTTCATCCCACAGCGCCTGGAGCTCTCGTTCCCCGCAAACCTATCTGCGCTGCAGGTTTCAACCACCTTCAGCCTCACCAGGGCAAGAACGCAGAAGTGACAGTAATTGTGCTGAGCCAAACGACGGCCACAGGCATGACATGATGCTCCTAATAAAGTCCGCTGCGGCTGGAGCCTGACTTTAACCCCCGCACACAGTTAGTCCCCGGGCCCAGAGCCCGCAACCAGCCCGGCTGGCTCAGTCCCCGCGCGCACGGCTAACATTACGCCGCACGCCGTCCCTCCTGTAAGCGTTAGCGCGCATGGCGCCCGACGTACGCTTCCCGGCGCGGCATCCGCTAAGACACGAAGGACAACCCTGCGGGTTGTCCCCCCCACCTCACCCCGCCGTGTTGTCTCAGATTACCTCCTGCCTCTCCGCCTCCTTGTTTTTCTGAGTCTGTTTCTTCGCGTACCACAAGCCAATTTCGCGGCCTTTCAGGTGTCCGGGATGCCGGCCCCGGCCGCCTCGACCACCGCCCCCTCCGCCTCCGCCGCCGCCGCCGCCGGAGCCTCGGCTCCCCCCGCGACCCCCTCCGTAACCCCCGCTGGAGCTGCGGGGCCCTCCGTCGCGACCCCAGTTCTGGTGGTAGTCATAGCTCATTGTCCTGGCGCACTACAACCCGTAAGAAGTCGCAACCGCTGGAAATGGCGTCTGGGACCGGAAGCGGGTGCACATCCACTTCCGTTTTGCTTCCGGCGCCCAGCGCGAGAGGGAGGGCCGTTTAGTGTCACAAGCAGACGTTTCCGGTGACGCCGCCGCGTCCTGCAACGGAGAGCCGGAAGCGGCGAATGTGAAGCATGTCGGAGCGCCCTAGGCGCCCGGCGTTGTGCTTTCGGAAGGAGGCCGAGCAGAAGGCTCGTGGGGTTTTTACCTAGGCTAGGCAAGTGAGGAAATTTAGGGGTTTTTTTGGATTCCTCCTGGCAAAATGTGGACTTTGGCCCCAAATGGCCCTGGATAGTAACCAATTCAAACAAAGCCTATGGACCAATGCGGAATCTACTAAAACTCTGAAGAAGTGAGTACATCACCTGTCTTGAAAACAGCCTGGCACCTCTTCCAAATATATACATATAAATGAGCTCCGGACTTTTAAAGGATCACCTTCCATTTTTTTACTACCTTTATCCAATGGCATAAGATGAGCAAGTCTGCCCAAATTCAGTTTAGAAGTCTTAGGAAATGAATTAACTTACTATAAATATACATGTGTAAGAAAAACAGAATACATAGAGTTAAGAACTATTTGGGGTTTCAGGCAACCACTGAATGTCTTGGAACATATCCTCCACAGGTCCCGGTTATGAAAGCCCCAAATTCTAACCACCTCCTTGAGTTGCCTTTTTTTTTTTTTAATTGGATTTCAGGAAGATACAATTAGGTCTGTCTTTTATGTTACTAATCTGTTTTTTCAGTTTAATTCGCTGACCCCCAAATACTCAACTAAGACGGTAGAGGAAAGTTCCTTTTCAACAGCCATCGATGTTACAGAAAAAATTTAATTTTGGAGGTAGATAAAATAAGCAGTAACTTTTGAGATAAGTAGACAGACTAATGGGGTGGGGAGAAAGTGTTATTGTGATGTGACTGAGAAGCCTAAAGATGTCTTTCTCAAATACCCTCTCCACTTAGCATGGGCTAGGGTGCAGAATTCGCAGCTGTTGCTTTCAAAATGACAGCATTTGGCATTCAGTTTCCACAGACATCCACACCCCCACTCCACAGATCACCTCAAAATGCAGCAAGGTTGAGCTGCAGGGAAACACATCACTGGTGGTACTGAGAACTACCAGTTTTCTCAGTATCAGGAAGTTTATTTTTCATATTCTTTATATCAAAACTGACACATAATTTCTTCTTAGAGCTAATAGTTATGAGCGCCTGGGAGTGGAGGTTAACTTTAGTGTTCCCTTTGAAAAATGAAACTCTTAATTGTCTCCTAGCTTCACTTAAGGACAGGGACAGTGTGTAGGGAGTTGGGGGGTGCATGTTGAGAAGAGTGACCTACCCCTGTATTGAATATAAGATGCTGGCAGTTTGTGAAGGAGAAAGAAAAAAAAAGGAAATGGAGAAACTATTTACATCATATCAGGAAGATTATGGGAAAATTTAAAAAATCAGTAGAGTATCTTGTCACATTAAATTGGGAAATTTTAGTTATGTTGAAAATGAAGTTTTAGAGAACAACTCTTTCTGACTATATCATAAAATCACAAAGTAAACTAAGAGAAAGAAAATGTATGGGTTTTGATTTAATATTATTACTGATGTAATCTCTAGTCCCCTCCTTGCTAGGCAATAAGGGAATAGTGGAAATATCTTAAAATTTCCAGCTAATTTTTCTTGGTTTCTTCAAGACAGCCTTATTTCTGGTAATTATGAACTGTCACTGTTACACCTCTCTTTCTCTCTCTTGCTCTCTCTCTCTCTCTCTCTCTCTCTC